CCCACCAGGTGGGCCAGAGAAGGTTCTGTCCTCAGCCATGATGACCACAAGCGAGGGCAGCCCGGCCTGGCCTCACCTCTGCCCTCTGCTCTTTGACTTTGACCTTGGCCTTCTGCTTCTTCCGGTAGTCGGCGTTGAAGTGGGCAAAGGCGTACTCCACCAGCGCGGCGAACACAAACACGTAGCAGATCCAGAAGTACACGTCCAGGGCTTTGATGGCGGAGGCCCGCGGCAGGGAGGAGCGTGCACTGACCATCAGCGTGGTCATCGTCAGCACTGTGGTGATACCTGCACAGGGCCTGGCCCTTCAGTGGACGCCCTTGCCTTCCTCTCTCCCCTGCAGGGTGGGCCGCAGCCCGCCAAGGGATGGCAGGAGAGGTAGCTCCCAGCCTCCGATGGCAAGCTTTGCTCCTGGTTTCCACCCCTACCCACTTGTTCTCCCCCTCCCTCAGCACCCTGTCCCTCGCCCTCAGCACTCTTTTCTCCCAGCCCCAGAGCTCTGTCCCCCCACCTTCCTGAGACCCTGTACCTAGAGACACCCTGGCGGGCACTGCAGCCTGGCTGATCCAGAAGGAGACCCAGGACATGGCGACCAGCAGGACAGAGGGCATGTACGACTGGATGATGTAGACGCCCCGGTTCCTCCGCAGGTGGAAGCGTAGGCTGAGCCTCGGGAACTGCCCAGCTGGCGGTCGGGCAGGGGCTAGTCAGGATTAGCATGTATCTGCCCCCCAGTTGGGCTTGCTGCCTTCCCCAATCAGGACCAGGGACCTGACCAGTCCCCCAGCCCCCGTTGGAGGAAGGTCTGATGTTCCCCCCACTGCTCGGATCTGACACCTGCCCGCTCCCACCCCCCATCAGGACCTGGAACCTGCCCTGCCCCCTTCTCAGCACCAGCACCTCTTCTTCCCTCTGCACCACATGCCCCAGGAATGGGGCGGGGCACTGGGACCCACTTGGAGTCTACCTTCCCCCTCCCCTACTCAGCCTGATGGGTCAGGTGACCCCTTGCCTTGGCCTTGCCCCAGGCCCCGCAGTGAGCGGGACACAAGACAATTGCAGGGTTTCAGTCTCCAGGGTGCAGGCCTGGCCTGGGAGCCCCGGCAGAGGAAGTCCTGCTACTTCTCCTTTATCTGCGCCCACGCCCACAACCACAGGAGTGCCACAGAGTCAAACCCCGAGGACAGAGCTGGGGCTGGACTCGGCCGCTTTGAAACAGAGCCAGCGGGAAAGAGGGGTCAGCCAGGAAACCAGGCAGGCTTAACTCCTGAGCCCTCTAGGCGCCCCCCCCCCGAGCCCAGGGTATAGCTAACACTGGGGGAACAGCAGGGACCCAGGAGTATGGCAGTGACAACTGGATCCCTCCCACGCCCCCAAGCTCCCTCCCACGCCCCCAAGGATCCCTCCCACGCCCCCAAGGATCCCTCCCACGCCTCCGAGGCCTCTCCCAAGCTCCTCCTCTGTGCACAGCCCGACAGCCGCACCCTCGGGGCCTCACCGGACTTGAAGTTCATCATCTCCGTGGTGAAGCGGAAGCTGGTGATGGTGAACTGGGCCAGCTGGAGCTTGTCCAGCCCGTGGATCTGCTCCTGGTTCTCCGACCAGTAGTAGACAATATCCTCAGAGGAGTAGCCGTCTGTGGGACAGCCCACAGGTGGGTAGCAGGCAGAGGACCACACCCCCGGGCCCTGGACAGCAGTGCTGGTGAGAGTGGGGAGGGTCCCATGGCCCGGTGACCTCCCCAGGGGCTGCCACACCTGGTCCCACCGCAACAGCAACACTGACCCCGACCAGATCTGGGATCCATACCCTATGCCCACAGTTCCTGAGCCGGACGGGCCTTACACAGATGCTTAACCAGACAGCTAGCTGCCCACACAGCCTGGCCACCACGTGAGCCCCAACCCCCGTGCCAGTCATGGGCTCCCAGCTTGGCCCCCTCAGACAGAGCCCCAACTGCTGGGCCGGGCTGGACTCACAGCTCTCCAGGTCCAGCATGCACTCCTGCTCGTCCATGGGGTACTTGGTCAGGTCCATGTCACAGGCCACTGTGGAGGTGATCCTGTCCAGATGAGGGGGATGGCTGACTACAGCAACCCCATCACTGCCCCAAGAGGCTTGGCACCCTGCTCTAACCCTAAGGGGTTGCCAGGGCTCTGAGATGCCCGCTGCTGGCCCCCAAGGGAACCCCAATGAACATCCGGGAGCCTGTCTTGGGGGCCTGGTTATCAGGAGCACTCGCCCTGCCCCCAGGCCTGTCCCTGCAGGCTCTCCTACCGAATGACAGCTGAGGGGCAGGTCCAGTGCTGCCCCCCCCCATGCCACCTCCCTGCCCTCTTTCCCAAGGAGGCAGACATCTGGGTCTGTAGGAAAGCAGCTGCTGTGTTCATGCTGGCTGTGGACTACGAGTGAAAAGGCCCTGAAGGCCGAGTGGCCACGTCTGCCACCCTGCAGCTGGCAGCCTCAGGTACCAACATTCCCGGGGGTGTATGCTGTGCCCCCCACCCCTGCTACCTGCAGCCGCATCTGGGCTTTCCTCAGTCAGGGCCACAGGTGTGTGTGTGTGTGGGGGGGTGTCCCCAGGCTCACAGGATGCTGTACAAGACCACCCCAGCAGGCAGTGGGGGCACTGGGGCTCACTGGGGGTGTGGTACAGGGTTGCCCCTGAGGGTGAGGTAAAAGAGTGTCCTGGGGGTGAGGTACAGACTTGTCTCTGGAGATGGGGTACAGGGTTGTCCCCAGGGTGGGGTAGAGGCATGTCCCTGGGGCCAGGCCGCCTCACCGCGTGCTGTACAGGATCACCCCGTCAGGCTGCAGCCGGATGAGCTTGTTCTCCACAGTGACGTCATGGAACCACGCAGACTTGGCGTTGACGATGAAGGTGTCCGGGAGCCAGAGCCGGTCCACGAAGCGGCTGTCGAGGCCCAGCGTCTCATTGGTGTGGCTGTAGGAGAGCCTGTTGTCCCGCCAGCTCTGGTGCAGGAACACGGTCATGGTGTACTCCTGCGGGGAGCAGGGTGACCAAGGGGCGGGAGAGGCGTGGTCAGCTCCCGGCTCACCCACAGAGCCCACAGCGGGGAGAGGGGAGCAGTGGGAGCGGCACGCACCATGTTCACCTCTGAGATGTGGTCGATGCTGGCCACCTCGAGGGCAAGCGCCACATTCACGGGGGGCCCTAAGAGGAGGAGGAGAAGCAGCAGGGCCTGAGTGGGCTGGACCAGACGGAACTGGGCACCCCACCTTAGGAGCCAGGCCAGGCTATACTCCCAGAGCCCAGGGAGGCAGGCAGTTGGCACAGGGTGAGCCACACACAATCCTGGGGGCAGGGGCGGGGGAGGATACAATTTCCTGGCTGCCTCCCCAGGCCGAGGGCTGACACTACCCGCCAGCCAGCCTGACATCCTGCAGCGGTCACTTCTGCTCCCATTCCAGAGCCCACAGGGTGCAGGCCTGCAGCCAGACGCCACCCACTTGACTCACCCCCGATGCCTGGCCGGAAGTTCCGGGCGTAACCCTCCATCAGCCCATCCAGGTTGGGAAGCCAGGAGATCTGCAGGCTGGAGCCGACATAGTCACCGATGTCATTCATGGCTCTGGGGGACACAAGTAAACAGGGTGCTGGGAGCCTTCCTGAGGACAGTAGGGGTGGGCGAGCCAAGGCGCAGCCCAAGATCGGGGCCCCGGGCTCCATCCACCATCTCTGCTCAGCGACCAGGGCCTCCACCCAAAGTGGCACAGAGGCCACGGGACAGCTAGCCTCCTGTGGCTCCCTTGGAAGGTTTCTTCTGCAGGGAAGGACCGTGCAAAGAGGTGTTGATGGACCAAGCGGCGCAAAAAGAGGAGGAGGGGAGGGTGTGGCCAAGGAAAGCCACCGTGGTGAGAGCCAGCCAAGGGTTGAGATGGGGTACAGGTGGCTCCTGCCTTTGACCTGTTCCCGGAGAAGAATTGCCACCTTTGCCCTATAGAGCTGGAGAATAGGGAAAGGAC